CAGCAGTCGTGTTGTGGAATGAAAAGGACCCAAAATGCAGGCAGCTGACTGATGAAGAGTGTGAAAAGAGAGAGAGGAGAGAGAGGAGAGAGAGAGAGAGAGAGAGAGAAAGAGAGAGAGTGAGAGAGAGAGAGGAGGAGAGAGAGAGAGAGAGTGGAGAGAGAGAGAGAAAGAGAGAGAAAGAGAAAGAGAGAGTGTATATTGTGTGTGTGTGTGTGAGATGAGAGAGAGAAGAGAGAGAGAGAGAGAAAGAGAGAGAGAGAGAGAGGAGCAGAGAGAGAGAGAGGGAGAGAGAGAGAAGAGAGAGAGTGAGAGAGAGAGAGAGAGAGAGAGAGAGAGAGAGAGAGAGAGAAAGAGAGAGAGAGAGTGTGCGCGCGCGTGCGCGTGTCTCGGCCGGTGAGAGTGGGATCCGGTCCTGCGTGTCCTTCACTCAGACTTTCCCACATCATCACTTGGACCATAAAAGGACACAGAGCCGCTCCCGCTCCGCAGCTCAGCCCGAGGAGGAGCTCCGCGGGCCGGCGGGAGTCAGTCACACCGCCCGGAGAGCCGAGCCTTCACCTGCGGGGATTTAACAGCAACGTGGAAACTTTTTAAAATCAGATTTGAGAAAGTCTCGGATCCTCTGCGGGTCTGCGCCACGGTCAGCCATGAGTCTGTGGACTAACGGCTCCTCCGTGGATCTGTTCCCCGGGACAAAGACCCCTCCGCCGGACTCCAACTCCTCCAACCGCACCGTCGGGCCCCCCGGAGCCGCCCCGCTGGACCTGAGCCGGGCGGTGCCGGTCGGCATGGTGCTGGCATCCTTCATCATGTTCGCCATCGTCGGGAACATCCTCGTCATCCTGTCCGTGGTCTGCAACCGACACCTGCGGATCCCCACCAACTACTTCATCATCAACCTGGCCATCGCCGACCTGCTGCTGGGCACCACCGTGCTGCCCGTGTCCGCCACGGAAATATTTTCCATGTCCCGGGCTTGGGCAACCGACACCCCTGCGGATCCCACCAAAACTTACTTTCATCAATCAACGCTTGCCTCGCCGACCTCTGCTGGGCACCACCCGTGCTGATACCGCCTCACCTAGCAAACTGTCACGGCTGGGGCAGCAGTCGGTTTAATGAAAAGGACCCAAAATGCAGGCAGCTGACTGATGAAGAGTGTGACGTTTATTTACAAGGTGGGATAGTGGCAAGCAAGCAGTGAGGCGAAAATAACTGAAGAAACCTAAACTGGGAGAACTAATAACAAACCTGAGAGCATACAAAAGGGGTGCGGGGCAGAGAGACGCAGGAACGAAACACCATGGAACACAGAGACATGCAGACGAGCCAACAACGAACACAGACCGACACCCACTAAATATACAAACACAAGGTAATTGGGTAATCACACACAGGAGGGAAGAACAGCTGATCCTAATACACATGATGACTGGAGGACACAAGCTGAACACAATGACAACAGACAGAGACCTTCAGAATAAAACAGGAAATCTAGAACACGAACCGGACACAAGGGGGGAGGACACAGAATAACTAGAACAGAGGAAAATAATCATAAAACACAAAACGCTGGGTCAGCGACCCAGCACCATGACACAAACTTATACACAGTACATTAGCACAATAACTGAAACCAGCCCACTGAATGAACAGTGGACTGTGAGGTCAGTTCCTTGATCATTAATATGCAAATTGTCATGACCATTGATCAATGGCCATGAGTACCATTCACAGAGAGTTGGGGAATTCAAATTCAAATTCAAATTCAAATTTTATTTGTCACGTACACAGTCATACACAGTACGATATGTAGTGAAATGCTTGGACAACTGCTCGTGACCTAAAGAAAACAAAAAAGGAAAGGCTATGAATAAGATAGGAAATAAATATGAAAAATTAAAAAGGGTAAATTTAACTAGGAAGGAATAAAATATAAATTAAGGTTAAAAATGAAATAACTGTACAACACAAATTAGAATGAAGGGTAAATTTAACTGGGAGAATAAGATAAAATATATAAATTAAAGTTGAAAATAAAATAACTGTACAACAAAATACACAATATAGAACTATATAAGAATGTATGAAGAAATTAAATAAATATATACACAATAACAGCAGCGTGATTTAAGTAATGAAGTGAAACAAATGTCCAGAAGTCCAGTGTGTGTGTAAGAACCTATATGTGTGGGTCAGTACTGTGTGGTGGTGTGATTGAGAGACCGTATCGCCTGCGGGAAGAAGCTCCTCCTCAGTCTCTCTGTGTTGGTTGAAAAGCATCTGATTCATTCCAGGTGGGGTCGTCCTAACATCTGAGTTGTTTAAATACCTGTTCCTCTACTCCTCCTCTCTACATTTCTACCCACCACGTTCTCAGCTCTGTGATTGTAGACAAAAGGACTTAAAGAGCAGAGAGTCATATGGATACATATCAGATGCAACGGATCAGAAAACCCGTTATTATGGACTGGGCATTTTGGTCACAAGCGAACCTCGTTATAATCTGGTGTAACATTTAATCATTAACGATGAATGTTCTCAAGTGTTATGTAGATTTGTGTGTTTGTGTACCCTGGAACAGCTGAGTACACAGCTGCCATGGTCAGGGATGGGTGAGGGAGGGGGTTCTCTTCTCGTAGCTTATTCACTCAATCTGGATTTGTTCTTATCGTAGTAGGAAAATACAGTGGTGCTAGGAGGCTAGAATGATGTTGGGAAGCTGCTGCTGGTACAGCAGGTGACGACTCAAATATTATCTGAAGCATAACTTTAAGTATCATTGATGTCTGGAAAAAAATTGCTCAAAGAAATGAGGGAATAAAGGGGTAAAAATGGACGTAGAACAGGAAAGGATCTAGGCAGGTTTGAACCATAGGAAACCAGGAATGTTATTAAAAGCAGTTGAAATAGAAATTATTGACACTCTAGGAGAAGTTAGACTTTGTTAGTCTGTGCTGCAAACTTCGCTATAGGTTACCACAGTACAAAGCAGTGTTTCTCTTTAATGCTCCTTTCATAGAGGAAATATGTGCCTATGTTTAAGAGATCAAAGACCCACACCATAGAGGAAATGTGCATGTTAAGAGATCAAACACACAGCAGTACTAAAAGTCAGCAGATAATCCCGAATTACAACAGCTCAAATTTAAAGTTTCAGTTCTGTCTTTCTATTTGAGCCTGACTTGCTATCTTCTTAGTTTAGTCAGGAAATCCCTTAAATATATTTGGGGTCACCCACATGAAATTACTTCCACATCTATAACAAAACCTACTGATAAAAAAAAATAAAATCAAAGAGTTGATTTAGTGTCAGGTAAAAATGCCATAAATGTGTGTCACTGCCCAACCTACAGTTTACCTGATGTCACTGAGAGACAGAGAAGAGTCCTAGCTCACTTTGGCTCATCTTTTCCTGCACTACTTTTAAGAGGCACTTTCGTTGTAACACTTTTTCTTACATGCTTGCATTGTCTCATTAAATCCCACTCTTTAGAATCAAGAGGATCTGTCCACACTTTGTGGCCCAGTGATAGCATTAAAAGAGCGGCTGGATGTAACAGATTGCAGAGTCCTGGCTAGATTACTTTTCTGATGGGATAGATGCTCAGCATTAATGGGTTTGTGTCTTTGTGGCCTGGAAGGGGGGGGGTTACAGAAAGAAACACTCTGTAGCAAAATAATTGAATGGAACTGGGGCTAGCTTAAATAGGAAGGCTTTTTTCCCTTTTTGTTTTTTGAGTATTAGTAGTAATAGCACAGGATGTGTGTCTGTCTGTGGTCCTTTCTGGCACAGATCCAGTCTCGCACTCAAACACAGTCTAATAGATGATCTCCCTGGGCATAACATTAAAGCGTAATGGTGTACAGTCCCTTGTTCACACACACACATATGTAGTGGGCGTGGGACATCCGGAAATGAGCCATGCTTGGGAATGTTGCGCGGGAAAACTGTCTGGGATAAGCCCATTAACTCTTTGGCCAGCTGCAGCCCCTCCCCACCTCCCTTAAACTGGACTTCCTGTTGCAAGATTTGTCAGAGTAGACTTCTGTGCTGCATCTCCAGCCAGATACACGCACACAGGAGTTTTGTGATTACGTGAGTCAGGGTGGTTTCTGGATAAATGGGTTTATTTTAAACAGAAAATAAAGACCTGCAGCTTGGAGAAGCCCAACACCTTTCACTGCTGCTGTCACACATCGCCATCTTGTGGCTGACAAAGATATTACATAGAAACTGACTTCAGGGTTTTTTGGTTTGTTTTTTTTTAATGGCTCATTGTGTTTACAAAGAACAGGCAGGCATGATCTGACCTAAAATCTGCAGTTACACTGCCCACTTCCTTTATGTGAAAATGTGTGATTTCCTTGATTGCAGCTGTACTTTCCTCCTCCTGGCTGAACGCTGCATGCCCCTTTAGCTCCACAGCCTTCCTCCCCGCTTTCTGTTATTACAGTCATGTCCTGCATTGTTGTTGTTGTTTTTTTTATCTTTCCTCTCTCAACAGTGATCTTACTGTCTTCTTCTCTTTGTCCAAACGTTGTATTCCTTCTATCTGTATGCATCTCCTTCATTCCCATCTATCTTCCCATACCTACCTCTCCTCCTCAGCCAGGCTATATCAGGGACTTGGTAAGTTGTGTCCACTGGCTGCTGTTTTAAGCTTTAGATACTTGCATGATTGTTTGAACTCTGAACAATTTTTGTATCTGGGTTATCAAACCTAACAATAACTATAGCAAGTCATAGTGGCCGCCATAGTAGAGTAGATGGTATAGTTTCTGTATGTCACTTGTTATTAACTCTAACAGTGTTCTTTGGGGTGTACAAGATAAGAAAGTAACACATAATTGTATCAAGTGAGCATCTGTGTGGTGTGGGGCTATAAATATACAGACTGAGTGAAACAAATGGACCATGCAGGTCTTTTGCATGTTTTAGCTCATTTAACACACAGTCCATATGCAGCATTTAACGTTAGCCTCACTGGTGTAATAGAGCAGACCCTTGTGAAAATGTTTTTAGACTGATGAATAGTTTAATGTATTTTATTCTTTCTTTTTTTTAATACATACTGTCGCTCTCTGCAATCACAGCATTGTAAGATCCTGAAAGACGTACCCTTAGCTCCACTCCTTGATTCAGAGATTTCCCTTTTCATGTAAATGGCCTCCTTTACTCCGCGCTCAAACCAGCATTCGTCCCTGTCCAGGATGTGTACATCCTCATCACTGAAAGAGTGTCCACTGGCCTGTAGGTGTAAACAGATTGCAGAGTCCTGGCTAGAGTTAGCTTTTCTGTGTTGTGCCATTCGCTTCCCCAGAGGTTTTTCGGTTTCCCCGATGTATAAATATCTGGGAAGGAACCTAAAGAAAGCTCCAGCTGATCCAGGAGAGAAGGACAACTACTAATTGAAAACCCTTAGTGATCCCATAGTGTCTGGAGTATCGGCACAGTTGAGGTGCATTTTTTCTAAACACAGCACATCTGTGGCTTTTAAACCCCAAAACACGCTGCACCAAAAATTGATCCACCCCAAGGATCAGGTCCCCCAACACAAACAGAGTAATATAGTGTATGAAGTGCCAGAAGGATTGCCAGGATTTATACATTGGGGAAACCAAACCAAACCAAACAACCTCTGGCTAAGCAGATTTAATGTTCCTATATTGCCACAGTGGGTCCTCCTGCTGCATGACAATTTCCAGCCTCATGTGGCAAGACTATGCAGATATTTCCTGGAGAATGAAGGAATCGATACCATTGACTTCCTGCTTCCTCTGGAATATTATGTTTTGGTCCATCTGATGGCGCCAGATTGCACTTTAGACTATCCAGGAAGTCAGTGATGCCCTGCTCGAAATCTGGGAGGAATCCCTGAGGATATCATCCATTGTCTCATTAAGAGCATGACCAGACATTGGAAGGCATTAATACAAGTGTGTGGAAGCCATAGAGTTGTACTGAAATTTCTGCAGAATGATTTAGCCTGGAACATATTTTTTTGTTTCACTTTCATTTTTGGCATGTCTTTGAATGCAGCCCTTTGTAGGTTGAACATTTTCATCAAATGATACGACATCCTTTTGTTCTCAACACATCACCCAATATCTACATAGGAATGATTTTTTTCCCTCACTGAAATTTGATAGATGTGTTTTAAAGTATTCCTTTAATTTGCTTGACCAGTTTACAATATACAGTATATAGGTAATCCGATCAGAAATAACAACAATAAATAAATAAATAAATACATAAATAAATAAATAAATAAATAAATAAATAAATAAATAAATATAGATAACAATTATACTTGAAATGTTGAAAGACAAGAGCTAAACATATTTAAAATGTGCGTCTTCATTCACTTGGGTTTGAGTTTTAAGTTATTCAAACACTCACAGTAAGGTTGAGTTTTAAGAGCATTTTTGTGATAGCAGCTTTGACCTGTAATGGTACAGAACAGAATGACGCTGTCAGGGTGAGGCCTGTACCATAAATGATAATTAAAAGTGACATGGCATCGAAATCAGCTGACCACGAAGACTGTCATGAAGCCCTTTGTCTCTGTGGCCGTGAGCTACTGTGCGTTACTGCTGATGGTTTTGAGCACATGGGCACTCAGAGAAAACACACGGAACATACTGACCAGACAAACGAAAATCAGACAACTAGAGAAGCAGACAGGCAGATAGAGAGATAGACAGGTCTCAGCGTCATAGCCCGGGGCTGGGGCTCTGTACGGGGTTGACAGTGAACACACTGCCGCTTGCAGGATTCACTCGCTGCAGGACGAGGCGGGCGGAGGCATGGAAATCGTTGCATGCCACTGTCTCTTTTCACGTTACCGCCACGGCATTGACCATACTGCTTTTGCTTGAAATGAAGCTCAGTTGGATTGTTGTGTAACCGCACAGAGAAAAGGAGGCCTTTCGCTATACTGGTGAGCGAGCTTTTTTCCCCCAGCTAGCGTTAGTCAGCTGTAGCTAGCAAGCTAACACACTCGGCGCTGATGATACAGCAGATAAGCCAGGCTGATACTGGCCGAAATAGCTCACCTCTCACAAACCTGTGCTTTATGTACAGCTATGGATGCTCATAACTAGGTTGTTACCCCCCGTTACACCCGCGCATGAAGATGTCACGTTTAGGTATTTTAACCTTTGGCTAACTGAGGGTCGTCAATAAAGTTAGCTACAATCGCCGACAGTAGCAGCGGTCGATAGTTGTTTCTGTTTTGTTTTGTTTTGCCTCGTCTCAAAACTAACCACTAACATGTAGCTTGTGGTTTGACGCAAGCGCTAGCAGTGCTGCTAAGCTTACTGCCATTTCTGTTACTTTGACAGTCCTCTGCAGTGCTGTCACTTTGTGAAACTATTAGCTGCTGGTGATTATCATTGCAGAAAAACAGCCTTTCCAATCTGACACAAGAAACAAGTTACTAAACCGCTCGTCATTCAAGCCAGCGGTGTCACACCTAAGTATCATCCGGCGGGTAGCTGTTTGTTAACCTTAGAAGCTACAATAAAGCAGCGTTAACACGGCCGTTGCTCTATGTTAACGGTATCTGAACATCTAAGTGCTGTCTGCATGTTGACCACGATTACATGACCTGACACTGGTTATCTACACTACAGCAGAAAGCCTTATAAAATTCACGCAACCCTTCACGTGTGTCTTAGTTAGCATACATTTCGAAGTTTTCTAATCTTAAAAATGTAAAGAAATGACCATGTAAATCAAAATAATGAAAAAATGCCACACTGCAATGAAATATACCATGACGACATTCCAGAATTGTAGCTTATTTAGTTTCTGATTCATGTTTCTGCACAGATTAGCTGCAGCCTTTAAACCACAGAGATTTGAAGCAAATATTGATTATCTTGGCACATTGCTGGGAAACACTGGATCCTAGCCATTGTGGATGTTATGCTGACATATACCAGGGCACTCCCTGACATCAGTGCCCCCCCCCCCTGCAGACAACACAAAACTGCCCAGGATGGGCTTGAGGAACATAATAACCAAAAGCTTTCTTTAAATTCCTCAGATCCCCATCTGTTCTAAAGCAGTATAGGATGCACTAGGCTGCCCAGTCCAAAAGACCAAGCCGCAAAACACGACCCAGCTACAGTAAGATGGAACCATAATGCAGTATAGTAGATGTTTGTATTGCTATTCAATTCTCGATTTCAGAATTATTGCAGCCCTAATTATAACAGAACACCTTTATAGTCTATTTGTCTGACCTTTTGCAGCTTTATACGCCCTCTAGAGGCCTTCGATCAAGTGATCATTTATGCAAGTCTAGAATGGTTTCTAGAGGGGATCAGGCGTTTGTGGTTGTGGCGCCGAAAATGTGGAACGATCGACCTCTCCGCATTAGAAAGGCCCCACTATCACTCTTTATAACTCTCATCTTAAAACATATTTTTTCTCTTTGGCTTTTGATACTGCATGAGAGTTACCAATTCTTTTTATCCTAATTTTCTTTTAATTTTCTTACCCGTTGTTGATGTTAATGACACTGTTTAATTATTACTTTGTACAGCACTTTGGTCAACTCTCTGTTGTTATTAAATGTGCTTTATAAATAAATAAATGGAATATAGTGTTTCAAACATGTCAGGCTGACTTTATTCTCAAATGTACAGCTAAACTTCACAAAGAGCAGTAGTGATGAATGCAATCAATGTCCAATTTATTATTTTACAATGGGTCATATCAACACGACTGTTCTCTGATAGCTGTTCTATAAGAGGGTAACGTTTTGCCCACTCCGTGTTTTCAGGACTGATGGCTCCAGAGTAACATGCCATGGCTTTAATGATCCCCCCTGTGAAACTGAAATGGCTGGAGCACCTGAACAGCTCATGGATTACCGAGGACAGCGAGTCCATAGCCACACGGGAGGGAGTTTCTGTGCTCTACTCAAAGCTGCTGGCCAACAAAGAGGTTGTACTGCTGCCCCAGCAGGTGCTGTGTCTGAAGGGCCCCCAGCTCCCAGACTTTGAGCGCGAGTCCCTCTCTAGTGATGAGCAGGAGCACTACCTGGATGCTCTGCTCAGCAGCCAATTGGCGTTGGCCAAGATGGTGTGCTCCGATTCCCCGTTTGCTGCCGCTCTGCGGAAACGTGTGCTGGTGCTTCAACGCGTCTTCTACGCGCTTTCCAACAAGTATCATGACAAAGGCAAGGTTAAGCAGCACCAGCACTCACTGGAGAACAACTCGGGTTCGGCTGATCTGCACTCTGTCAGTGAGCGGCCACGGTCCAGCACTGACGCCCTCATTGAGATGGGTGTTCGCACTGGCCTGAGCCTTCTCTTTGCTCTGCTGCGCCAGAGCTGGATGATGCCTACTGCACCGAACCCAGGTGGAAATCCTGGGAGCAACATAAACTTGTGTAATGATGTCATTCACACAGCCATTGATGTTGTTAGCTCCCTGCCAGCACTCTCTCTTGCCAATGAGAGCAAGATCCCACCAATGGGACTGGACTGCCTGTCCCAGGTTACCACCTTTCTGAAGGGAGTGACAATGCCAAATTCTGGGGCAGATATTTTAGGGCGGCGGCTGGCCTCAGAACTACTACTGGGGCTGGCTTCACAGAGGGGTTCTCTGCGCTACTTGCTGGAGTGGATTGAGATGGCTTTGGCTGCGTCAGCTGTGGTCAGTACGATGGAGCAGAATAAGTTGCTACAGAACCAAGAAGGCCTCATTAGCTATGATTGTTTCATGAACATCCTCATGCAGATGAGGCGCTCTTTGGTAAGTAAATGTTAACAATGTACCTATTAATTTTTAGTATTATAAATCCAGTCAGAACTGGTAATATATGCATGTCATTCCTCATCTCTACAAGAAATGGTATTCTGCAACAGTTTGAGTGTTATTAGGTGCAGTGTCCATGCTTTGAAGCTTTGAGTGTTCTCATCATTGAATTGTCTTCTTCCAGGGTTCCTCAGCAGATCGTAGCCAGTGGCGAGAACCCACACGGACCTCTGATGGCTTGTGTTCATTATATGAGGCGGCACTCTGTCTTTTTGAAGAAGTAAGCAAGCACATTTTTTTCTTTTAAGAAATTGTATTATTGCGCCAAAAATAGCACCTTATAATGGCAGTAACTAAATTGTTTACTTTTGGTGTTGAGTTGGGTAGTTCTGTTCCACTCTGGCAAAAATATTCATATTCATATTTAATACTGAAATCCTGAGTGAAAAGAAAGCAACTGGACTTCAGGCTCCTCAACCTTCACTCACATCTTGTGTCAGGTGACCTCAAGTAGGGATGGAAATCAAGAACCGCAGCAGTTCAGTTCCTTGGAATTGTTCGTTTTCCCATTGATCGTGCTTTTTGGTCCTACTTGCACTTGTGCTACAATCAACTGATTTCAATTCGTGTGTCAGAGGAAGAAAATAGTGGCGCAGTCTACAGCTGGATATGGACATTACTTTAATTTTAATTGCAAAAAAGGACGAGAGCACGAAAGTATAGTGGATACTGCACCCAGGACAGAGGCGACTGCATAGCACAACTTCGGCTCTTTGCAAGCATCCGCACAGACAGAATGCTAATGCTAATGCTAAGCTCGCCAGGAACCCAGAGTGGTGTTCAAGCTGAGTAAATGTCAACACCCGCCCAGCAGTCAGACCCTGAACTTCAACAGGTAACAAAAGAAGTAATTATCAGCCAGGCTCAGATCCTCAGTTTCTGTCTGCTTATTTTTCTGCAGTAGAATCACTGTGGCAGTCGCTTTGAGCTGTTTTCATCTTTATTTGTGTTCATACCAAGAGAAAGATCACATGTGTGTCTTCATTAGAATGAGGATTTTTGTTGGTGTGTGGAACTGTAGCCTGTAGGTTTATGAATATGTAATATGTAATGTAATGTAATATCTTTAAAATGTTGCTTAGAGATGTTGGTGACTCTCAGTGGAGCCAATGAGAACCTAATGTGAATCGAATCAATAAGTGATATTAATAATGCAATCAGAATCTATAAATTCAGTTCCCATTCCTACTCAACGGGTCACATGATAGGATGACTTTGAAAGCAGGGCTTCCATAGTGTCGTGTTAACTGCTTCGCATGATATGAGAAGTTTCTAGACCGAGAGGAGACACAAACCCAGCCACAGGGTAGTGTCAGCTGGTGCACTCCTGATGCCACTCCCACTCCTGGGTTAGTGGGAGGGTTGTTCCAGGGAGAGCCTAAAATCTATCTGTGCCAGATCTGATGTGGTGCCCCTCAAGCAGCCGAAAGTACTGCTAATGATTTTGTGGATTTATTGTAGTCAATATCATACAGTGAACACAACATGGGAGTCTTTATTGTACAGCAGAAATAAACATGTTTATAGCCTGGTGAAATAAAACAGCTTTGGCCTCTGTCACCCTTCTTCATAACAACTACCAACAACATACTCTGTTTATTAATTCATGAATCTGGATACCGGAGTGCTGCCACAGGAAGTTGTAGTTGTTTTGTAGCGCTGGTGCCTTTTGGAGTATTTTTAATGGAATTAAAATGCTTCTTGCTGACTTAGTTTTGGGGACTGAAATTCATGTACTGTTGATTAAGTGAATTTCTTACAGTTAACTAGCACAGAGCTGTGCCATATTACCAAAATCTTATATCCCGATATAAGTGGTTTCTTGTCCCGATAGCAATATATAGATTAAAAGAAAGCCTGTACATCGATTGCAGAGGGTTCAGTCTCTCATGAAGAAATGATCCTTTATTAAATGGCATAACATGGACCAAAACCTCTTCTAACGTTTGACTCTGTGGTTTATTTTGAGAAGCTGACGGCTCTTTTTTGCTGCTTATTCGATATATCATCATCAGATATATTTCGTCTTATCGCACAGCCCTAAACTAGCAGCTGTATGTCTGTGTTTATGGCTGCATCTTCCACTACAGCAGCTAGCACTCCACTTTATCAAAGATGGTAGCTTGTAGCTCCAAAGCACTTAACATACCAATTACTGAAGTGCTGATGGTGACGTCACTGTGACTGAAAGCAGGCTGCTGGTGCATTGGATTTGTAACTGAGAGTATTAACTGTAAAACAGAATGCACAACAATATTTTTTTCACTGTATTGTTTTGATTTAACCAAATTCTAACACGACTAATTGTGAAAGTTTACTTAGCGAAAGGAATGAGTCATGCTCTTGATAGAAACACAATGCCAAGAGGTCAAGTGACACAGAGCTCTGATGAACTACCAGGAAAACTAAATCTCTGATGGACCCTTACTTAAGGAGAAAAATCTGGTACTTAAGAGCATTGTTGCCATATTTTCTACTATACCATTAAGCAACAAAAGCTGACTATTTAATACAGTTTGGGTATTTTGTAACCGTTCGGCTGGATTACTGTGATTCTCTTTATTTTGGGGTGAGTCGATCTTCTGTTTTTCGACTGCAGTTAGTTCTGAATGCTGCTGCACGCCTTTTAACTGGCACTCGTAGATACGAGCATATCACCCCAGTTTTATATTCACTTCATTGGCTGCCCGTGCATTTTAGGATCCATTTTAAGATGCTTTTATTTGTTTTTAAATGTTTGTCCAATGCTGCCCCTCTGTACCTCTCTGAGCTTCTTCATCCATACATACCTTCATGGTCCCTCAGGTCGGCAGACCAGCTCCTCCTGAGCGTGCCCAGGACTAATCGTGAGCTCAGAGGGGATCGGGCGTTTGCTGTGGCAGCACCAAAATTGTGGAATGAGTTGCCTTTACATGTTAGACAGGCACCTTCCTTATCTGTTTTTAAATCACGTCTTAAAACATATTTATTTACCTTGGCTTTTAGCACAGCAGGACTTGTTGATGTCTCTTAATATGTTTCTTATTAATTATATTATTTTTAATTTTAAGATATTTTATATGTAATTTAAACTGTTTCCTCTCTGTTTTATATTTGTAGCACTTTGGTCAACATTGTTGGATGTAAAGTGCGTTATAAATAAAGATGCTATGCTATTTTTAAATTAAAAGTGATCTGGCAATACAACTGGAAACGTTAAACTTAAGCTTAACACATTTCTGTGTTTGCAAGTTAGTTCAAAACTGCCTTTCATTTCTTCCTTTTGGTGCTGAGATGTCAACAGCAGACCAGTAACCACCATCACCGGGTTGGTTAGTTGCAGATAATTGACTTGCATTAGTTTATGTTAGCGAATAAGCGAAAGAACAGATAACTCACTGGAAAACAGGGAACAAAACTGTGTGGCTGTAGCTCGAGAGTAGAGCAGATCATCTGTGGTTCAATCCCTAGGTGCTCTAGCCTTCATGGCAAATATCTTTAGGCAACATACTAACATGAGTTGTTTTCCGTTCTTCGTGAAAGTTGGATAGAAAGCACTTGCATAGAAAACAGTGCTTGTGTGAATCGGTGAAGCTCCGTAAACCGGTTTGAGTGTTCAGATAGATGTTCAGATGTTCCGGTTAATACTTGTACAGCTGCTGTTATTGTGTATATATTTATTTATATTTAGATTTCTTCATACATTCTTATATAGTTCTATATTGTGTATTTTGTTGTACAGTTATCTTATTTTCAACTTTAATTTATATATTTTATCTTATTCTCCCAGTTAAATTTACCCTTCATTCTAATTTGTGTTGTACAGTTATTTCATTTTTAACCTTAATTTATATTTTATTCCTTCCTAGTTAAATTTACCCTTTTTAATTTTTCATATTTATTTCCTATCTTATTCATAGCCTTTCCTTTTTTGTTTTCTTTAGGTCACGAACAGTTGTCCAAGCATTTCACTACATATCGTACTGTGTATGACTGTGTACGTGACAAATAAAATTTGAATTTGAGATAGAGTAGAAAATTGCTTTATAAGAACTGCTAATGGTGATGTCACTGTGACTGAAAGCCGTGCTGCAGCCAAGCAAAGCATGGGTTACTTGTGGACGTACCTTCAACTGACCAATAGAAGCAAAGCAGGAGGGAACAGGAGAAAAATTCAAAGATCAAAACAAGTATAAAAAGCACAGACAGTGGTTGCAGAGGACAGGGTTTATTGTTTTTAACACTCAGGTCTTTGTATGTTATAACTTCGCTCTTCTCCACGGCTGGCTGATGGACCAGCAAAAGCTGAAGTGGTTCAGAGACCAATTATACCATGTACAACTGGGAGTTACACCCTGAGGCAGCAAAAGTACATTTTTGTGTGTCTGGGCTTTATGCCAGACTGTTAGAAGCAGTTGAGCTAGCTTAAAATCAGTGGACAAAAGCGCTAACTGGTAGTAGCTAGCTCAACTCAGCAGAGGTGTTCTTATTGAAGTGAACAGCATATGAACTTGGGTTGCAAGACGGACCTCAAATATGTCATTACAGATCATCTGCCTTAAAGCCAGGGGGCGTGGGGGGACAGTATCCCGTACTACATATGTTTTACCGACAGAATCAACTGAAAGGGGAAGTGGCACAAGTTATGAAGTTGATGTACGTACGAGGAATTCCTGTGAGCGTAAAGCTCAGGCTTTGCTCTCAACGTTTGAAAGGGAGAGCCCATGAGAAGAAAGGACTATTATTGTTAGCTGTGAATCATCTAAATAATAATAATAATAATAATAAAAGTAAAGCTTACTCTAGAAGAGTTTCAGCATAAAGCTATGCAGCTGGAAATAAGTATCATGGCTCCTCTTTTTGTTTTCTCCCAGGTATGTCGAATGGCATCGGACTACTCTCGCACTTGTGTTAGCCCGGACAGCATACAGACTGGCGAGACACCTGTGGTGTCGGAAACCTGTGAAGTGTATGTGTGGGGCAGCAACAGCAGCCACCAGCTAGTGGAGGGAACACAAGAGAAGATACTGCAGCCCAAGCTGGCTTCGAGTTTCGCAGATGCACAAACAGTAAGAGCAAACCTTCATAATTCTTTTTGAATTAGTCGTTCAACAAAACGGTGCACTCTCTTCTAAACTCATCTTACAGGTTGAGCCACAGGACCCACCCAGTATGAGTGTATTTGTAGGGCTGCACGATTTTGCATAAAATGAGAATCATGATTTTTCTTTTCATAATTCATAACTCTGTTCTTTGTAGAAAGTTAAGAAACCTATCATCAGCTTCAAATGGCAAACTGGATGTTGTCTTTTAAAGAGGCATTACTTTTACTGATCACAAAAATGGTTCGATGTAAGATTTCACTGGTTTTCTCACAGAGATTAAAACTGTATTTGTTATTGAGACAGGGACGGTACTTTAGAGATGATGGGGTGAACATGATTCTGATTTTACTTCCAACTTGGTTTGTTTATGTTTTGGGAAACAAATGACTGAAACATGAGAAGCTTGTAGAACTCTGAGACCCGGTTTCTTTTTGTTTGTGTTCTAATTTTTTTATTCTGATTATAGTTTTACTGAGTTTAATATTATAATTAATTTCATGTTGCAATATTTCCCAACAAGACTGGTTGCCCAGTTACGTGACATTTAAATTATAATTTATTTTCATCTGACTGAGAGAAAAACACAATCTATGAGTGTACAAGCTCTCGTTTTGGAAGTTCAGTTGCTGTTAGCCTGGTAGTTCTGGTCCTCAGTGTGACTCAGCTGTCTCCAGTCTCACAGAGACTCCAGTGCCAACATCTTGGACTGCAGCTTTTAGCAGCAGGCTATGTTAGACTCTGCAGATCCACTGTGAGTTCAACGGCCACGCAGCTCTGATGCAGCAGAGCAGGAGCAGAGCAAGTTCAAACACGAAACAACAGTTTGTTGCAGTTTCCCCGTCTCTCTAATCTAAGAATCTCTGAGATCCTGCAGTGGTATATCACAAGAACGGTGGTAAAGACCAGTCAGCTGTTCCGCACTGCATGTGCCAAGTAACAAAAATCGAAAATGTGGTGTCACTTTTGGCACGAGATGCTGTTTGCGATGGAGCGATGGCAGATTGAAACTGTTACTGTCTGTTTAGAGAAGGTTGGCTTAAACTGAAGCATGGCTGATGGGTAGTGCCTTGTCATATTTTCCAGCATCAAACCGTAGCACTCACTAACTCGCTCAGTAACAGTTGCAGAATGGTGTTGAGTAAGCCTGCAGCCTTTCACCACAGAGGCAAAACTTCTTCGCTATTCTCTTCAGATTGAGGCAGGCCAGTACTGCACCTTTGTGATCTCCTCGGATGGGTCTGTGCGGGCCTGCGGGAAGGGCAGTTATGGCCGCCTAGGCCTCGGAGACTCCAACAACCAGTCGACCCTCAAAAAGTTGACCTTTGAACCCCACCGTGCCATCAAAAAGGTGTCATCATCCAAGGGATCAGACGGCCACACGCTGGCCTTCACCACAGAGGGTGAGGTGTTCAGCTGGGGAGACGGTGATTATGGCAAACTGGGCCATGGGAACAGCTCAACACAGAAGTATCCAAAACTTATCCAGGGGCCGCTGCAGGGGAAGGTAGGATGTATACACTTTCACTCATGTAGTACAATAAAGCAGCAGTGAAATCTAGACGGTCCAAATATGATGTGTCTATTTTCTCCACTTCTAGAAACTGTAAAATTCATACAGAGTCCTGTGCTAGTAGATGACGATTTAACAGTTCTCGTGGTGAATTATCTTGTTGGTGTTCTCCTGTACCACATAGAAAACACACAGTCTTTTGAGTGTTTCCTGGCATCGGCAAACATTACAATGTGTTTGTATGCTTTGTCAGGTGGTGGTGTGTGTGTCTGCTGGCTACAGACACAGTGCTGCAGTCAGTGAAGATGGAGAGCTGTACACATGGGGAGAAGGAGACTTTGGAAGATTAGGTATGTTGTCGAGCTACAGTCCATTCATTTCCACCTTTGCTGTCAAGTAATGTGCAGATCCATCCAGTTTTCTGAGCATCAAAATATCCGTGCAGATGATTTCTCTCTGTTCCAGTTGATATATTTTCTAAATGACAGACGATGGGTGTCACGGGAGTGCAGGGTTATCTGCTGCTTTTCATTTGTGTTGCAGAATTTCCATTTGTAAATAGCCTGACCCTTTTTATTATGTGTGAATGCAGGTCACGGTGACAGCAACAGCCGCAACATTCCTACCCTGGTCAAAGACATCAGCAATGTTGGAGAGGTGTCATGCGGAAGCTCCCACACTATTGCTCTGTCAAAGGATGGACGCACTGTCTGGTCATTTGGGGGAGGGGACAATGGTGTGTACCCTTTCATTTGTCAAATAGACTTCAGAACTAAGGGTATAAATGTGGACATCTGCATTGGCACTTCTGTGGGACAAATAATGCCAAAGGTCAGAGAATGGCCAGTTGAATGGATGCTTTGAGCTGATACGAATGCAATATTCATTCAAATAACCAGTCAGTACAACCAGGGTCTGCAGAAGAGCTTGACTGCACAACTTGCTAAACATTGAGTCAGATTGTCTACAGCAACTGGACAAAGATAGGTTCAGAATAACACAAACGTATAGAGTGATCCTGCCTTGTACCAGTCATTTAAGCTGAAGGTGGTGGTTTAATTATGTGGGGGATATTTTTTGGCACACTTTGGGCCCTACAGTACCAACTGAGAATGCTACTGTTAGGTGTCCATTTCTTTATTACCACAGTTTACCCATTTTTCTCATGACTGCTACATGAAGGATGATGTACTACATCGCAAAGCGCAGGTCATCTCACCCTGGTTTCTCAAACACAACAGTGACTTCACTGATCTCAGATCTTAAACCAGTAGAGCAACTCTGGGATGTTGTGGAACAGGAAATTTGCATTAAGGATGTTTTGCTGACAAATCTGCAGTAAATCCATGATGTTTGCTGTAACTAATGAAGTGGCCAGTATGTGTAAACTGCAAATAAGTTCATTTAAGAATGTTCATTCTGTGTCTTGCAGGGAAACTGGGTCATGGCGATACTAATAGAGTCTACAAACCAAAAGTAGTGGAGGCCCTGCAGGGCATGTTCATCAGAAAAGTGTGTGCAGGAAGCCAGTCATCTCTTGCATTAACTTCTACAGGACAGGTAGGACATGATTTGTGTTTCCGCTAACCAAGAGTTATAAAAAGTCTGCAATACAGTAATCTTAGTTTTAAGCATTAAAATATCTGTAAAATTATTTTGATCGATCTTAAAATTATAAAGTCAATCATTATAGAAGTGCTTAAACATGATCCCCGCCCCCTCTCAGAGGGGGAAATTTCTACTTCTCAAGGCCTTAACCAATATGAAATCAGAACTCACTCGTGTAATATATGCAGTTTTGCCACAAACCACAAAGCAAATACATAGGGCTGCACGATTAATCGTTAGAAAATCGCGATCTCGATTCATACTTATGTGCGATCTCATTTCCAAATGACAACGGTTTAAAAAAAAAAAAAAAAAAGACAAAGACGATTGTACCGCATTTTGATCCGGGACGTAATCTGCATGAAAACAAGCGCTCACTCTTCCTGCTCAACAAATGACAAGGGCGGAGCCTTATACCACGTGATACAGAAGCTGTGCCGTGTGATGCTAAAATTAGCAGGAAAAAACAACGGAGAGCACGTCAGGGATGACGAGAAAGTGACAGGAGAAAATCCGTCCCGGTCAACCACCCAAACATCAATAACGGGAACCTTATACAGCGCTTCCCTATACACCTCGAACTCCCGCAGGCACAAAGAAATTACGGAGGCCATCACTTATCACCTAAGTAATAAATTTGGCCCGCAGCCTAACTACATTTGGCCCACGAAGCCATACCAAATTACTATTAGAGCTGGCCTGCTGGTATTATACAGCTAATATATATATTGTTTAGTATTAAGCTTTGCTTGTTCCATATTCAGTTTTCCAGCAAAACTTATTTGAGTCCATAAGAAAAGATTCATTCTTATATCTGGAGGAAGATTTTTTTTCAATAAATATTAATGTTAGCCCGCAACTTTGTTCCAGTTTTGAATTTTGGCCCACTGTGTATTTGAGTTTGACACCCCTGACCTAGACAAACGCTACACAGTGCCGTCCCGCAACTATTTTTCTATTGTTGCACTACCTGCTCTATACACGCAGCGTCAAGCAACGGTGGAGATGGAATTACAAGCAGTACAGCATTTTGCGTGAACAACAAAATGTGAGACATTTGTTGTTTTTATGTTTATTTATTGTTTTTATGTTCAGTCTCAACTGTTACGAAGTTGATGTGCAGTTAATAAGTGCAATAAATATTTATACTGGAAAAGAGAATAGTGAGAGAATCGTGATCTCGATTCTAAGCCAAACTAGAAAGCGAAAATTTCAGAAGAAATTTTAAGTGTGCCTATGCCGCTGCCAATGAGTGTAGTTTGCCATTCATACAGCTACAAAAAAAAAATCCAAATAAGGGTAGACAGGCCGTACTACTGCTGGCATACCACTAGAGTGAGCCAACACACCACAAATTAAGTGAGTGAGCCATCGCTTTCGTTTCAAGTTAAGTTTCACTTTCCTTCCCATTCATTTCAATGGGCAAAAACTTGCATTAAAATATTCATATTTAAAAAACTATAGAACTAATAAACACCAAAAGTCATAGCACACCATTCCTGATCCAGCCGCACAAAATGAAAAAGGAAAATAATAATAATAAGAATAATAATAAGAATAATAAATCCGAGAAATAGTAATAAGTGTGCCTTTTGGCATAGGCACACTTAAAAATCATGATTCTCATTTTATGCAAAATCGTGCAGCCCTACAAATACACTCATACTGGGTGGGTCCTGTGGCTCAACCTGTAAGATGAGTTTAGAAGAGAGTGCACCGTTTTGTTGAACGACTAATTCAACTTGTCTACATGAGAAACGAACAAAGTTCAGAGGTCAGAAGAAGTTCAAACTGCTATCAATGGAAATAGAAAATGTCTGGAAAGTGCCACTCCTGGTCCTTATTTGGACAGTTATTCTTGAAGCATCAAATCATTTTCATTTCATTACACCTTCATGTTCAAGTTGTTGAATCTGAATTTTTCCTAATGCTTCAAAAGTTTCCCCGACATAACGTTTTAAAAATCGTTGTTCCTTTGCAGCTTGTACACTTGCCATGATGCTATATTTTTGGTGTTTATAGCAACAAAGCCCTGCGTGGCTAACGCTGCACTAATATTCATCAAAAAGCTTGCAGGTATTTAACCTGCGAGTTCGTGTGTACCACAGGACAGAGGTGCACATCACAGGTCTGCAGGCCTGACAGCTGGAGGTGTATCACTGTTTTCCACTTGGTGACAGCATTTACATCGCAGTCTGCCTATTTTCAACGTGTTTAATCAAATTAAACACGTTGAAAATATTGTTGCCATTTTTAAAAGATGCCCTAAAATGTATTCAAAAGGGTCTTAAAACATCTTGAAATTAACTTGTTTCAAGCTGCTTAGATCCTTGAAACTTATGGACATTTATCCCAAAGAGGGAATTTCGTGCAGCTGTTTATGTATTCCTACTGAACAGACAGCTGGTTGGACACAGTTCAATATTTAAGGTCGAGATTTGTTACATAATATTGTTCTTCCAGTTATTTGTCTCTGAGGTGCCGCTTCACTGCCCAGGACAGAAAGCTGTGCTGATGCTGATCCCACTCTTGTTTTCAGGTGTACGCTTGGGGCTGCGGTGCTTGTCTAGGCTGTGGTTCCTCTGAGGCCACCGCACTCAGACCTAAACTTATTGAGGAGCTGGCTACCACCAGAGTAGTGGACATCTCCATAGGGGACAGCCACTGCCTGGCCCTGTCACATGGTACTACTTTTCTCTTTTTGTGTGATTGCTGTCTGGGATCAGAGTTAAAATACTCAAACTGTCTCTGTCAGTCAGTTTTTTTTGCTGACACAGAAAATTTTTGTGTTTGTTGAGGGCTGTTGCAAGCAGCCTGATGTAATAGCAAATCTGCAGACCTTGTCAGTTTAGGGTAATATGTAACTTCCAGCTTGAGATATGACGTATCTGTTTCGATCGTGTTGTGCTTAATCCCGATGCAGACAATGAAGTATATGCATGGGGCAACAACTCTATGGGTCAGTGTGGGCAGGGGAACTCCACAGGGCCAATCACCAAACCCAAGAAGGTCATCGGCCTGGATGGAGTCGCCATTCAGCAGATCTCAGCTGGCACCTCTCACAGCCTGGCCTGGACTGCCCTGCCCAGAGACAGGTCAGCTACCGCAACAGTTACCACGAACTGATCCCATCATGATGATTTTCTCTCTGGAAATATTCACGTGGGACTGCAGGCAAGAGCTGATGTTGCAAGGCCACCAGAATTTGTTTTTCAGCTACTAGGAAGCACGAGTCAAAGGGCAGTAACTACACGTGAAAAGTACTGAAACTGCAAAACCAACACACTGATCTTGTGATTCAGAGTAAAGGTTACAGTGGTGGGTTTTATTGCAGTCTCCAAAAATGCACCGAAAAGCACAAATCAAAACAAATACCCTGATACTGTGAGCATCCTCAGAGGTCCTACCTCTCAGCCTGGGAGATGAGTTTAGAAGAGAAGCACTGTGATTCAGCCTTTTTGTTAAATATGTAATTCAAGGTCTTTAAGGATATGCACTTCCAGGAACAGCTGAAAAAGGCCAACAGGCATCAACGAGGGTGACGGCGTGAGAGAACTGCTGTTTAACAAACACATTTAGGTGTTGATTGATTAAAAGCATACATGTGAGATGCATACAAATGTGGTTATCACAGTTATTGTTTGGATTTTGGTTTCACAGGCCTTTATGTTTATGACATCGACACAACACTTTACTGTAGATCAAAGTAATTTACTGTACCTTACATACTTTACTAATATTTACTTATTACTTCTTTCTAGGCAAGTAGTAGCTTGGCACCGGCCCTACTGCGTTGACCTAGAAGAAAGCACATTCTCTCATTTGCGCTCCTTCCTTGAACGATACTGTGAAGGCATCAACAGCGAGGTCCCTCCTCTTCCTTTCCCCTCATCCAGGTGAGCCTGTTAGCCACCAGCCTTCACTGGTGTTATAAACCCTCCTGGGCTTGCTGTATAGTCTTTCTTGCACTTAGTGAAATCATATGTGACCAATCAGAATGTAACCTTGCCAAGTTCCATCCATCCATCCATCCATCTTCATCCGCTTTATCCGGGGCCGGGTCGCGGGGGCAGCAGCCTAAGCAAAGAGGCCCAGACCTCCCTCTCCCCAGCCACCTCCTCCAGCTTATCCGGGGGAATACCAAGGCGTTCCCAGGCCAGCCGAGAGATATAATCTCTCCAGCGTGTCCTGGGTCTGCCCCGGGGCCTCCTCCCGGTGGGACATGCCTGGAACACCTCACCCAGGAGGCGCCCAGGGGGCATCCTTGTCAGATGCCCGAACCACCTCAGCTGGCTCCTTTCGATGTGGAGCAGCAGCTGCTCTACTCTGAGCCCCTCCCGGATGGCCGAACTTCTCACCCTATCTCTAAGGGAGAGGCCAGCCACCCTTCGGAGGAAGCTCATTTCTGCCGCTTGTATCCGCGATCTCGTTCTTTCGGTCACTACCCACAGCTCGTGGCCATAGGTGAGGGTAGGGACGTAGATCGACCGGTAAATTGAGAGCTTCGCTTTTACACTCAGCTCCCTCTTCACCACGACGGACCGGTGCAGCGTCCGCATTACTGCAGCTGCAGCCCCAATCCGTCTGTCGATCTCCGGCTCCCTTCTCCCATCACTCGCGAACAAGACCCCGAGATACTTGAACTCCTCCACTTGGGGCAGGAACTCATCCCCGACCCGGAGTGGGCACTCCACCCTTTTCCGGCTGAGAACCATGGCCTCAGATTTGGAGGTGCTGATCCTCATTCCCGCTGCTTCACACTCGGCTGCGAACCGTTCCAGTGCGAGCTGGAGGCCCTCACCCGATGAAGCCAACAGAACCACATCATCCGCAAAAATCAGAGATGAGATTCTGAGGCCACCAAAGCGAAAGCCCTCCGCCACTTGGCTGCGCCTAGAAATCCTGTCCATAAAAATTATGAACAGAACCGGAGACAAAGGGCAGCCCTGGCGGAGCCCATCACCCACCGGGAACGAGTCCGACTTATTGCCGGCAATGCGAACCAAGCTCTTGCAACGGTTGTATAGGGATCGAATGGCCCGTAGCAATGGGCCAGACACCCCATACTCCCGCAACACCTCCCACAGGACACCCCGAGGGACACGGTCGAATGCCTTCTCCAAGTCCACAAAACACATGTAGACTGGTTGGGCAAACTCCCATGCACCCTCAAGTATCCTGGAGAGGATAAAGAGCTGGTCCAGTGTTCCGCGACCAGGACGAAAACCGCATTGTTCCTCCTGTATCCGAGGTTCGACTAGCGGACGAACTCTCCTTTCCAGCACCCTGGCATAGACTTTCCCAGGGAGGCTGAGGAGTGTGATCCCCCTGTAGTTGGAACACACCCTCCGGTCCCCCTTCTTAAAGATGGGGACCACCACCCCGGTCTGCCAGTCCACAGGTACTGCCCCTGATCTCCACGCAACATTGCAGAGGCGTGTCAACCAGGACAGCCCTACAACGTCCAGAGCCTTCAGGAACTCGGGGCGGACCTCATCAACACCAGGGGCTCTGCCACCAAGGAGTTGTTTAACTGCCTCAGTGACTC